AATTTTTGTCTTGAGAAGTGTTATAATTTGGGGCACCTGGGTGGCTTAGTTAGTTAAGCATCCGACTCTTGATTTCAGATCAGGTTATGATGTCAGGGTCATGGGATTGAGCCCTGATCTTGGGATTCTCTCTCTCCCTCTGCCCCTTCACCAGGTCACACACTCTAAATAAATAAACAAATAGACAAATAAATAAAATATTTTAAAAATAAATAAATAAGTAAAAGTATTATGATTCTACAACATTATCAAATGGCTGCACTGCATTCCACAATACAACTGTATTACATTTTTTTAAACGTTTCTTCTAATTTTTTTCCATTAACTTTGTTTCAACATTTTCCACTACCATAAACAACCCAGCAATGAGCATCCTTGTGGCTAAACTTCTGGGAACAAACATACAAACATTTTTAAGACCGTTCAAAGATATTGTCGAGTTACCCTCAAACAAGATTGTACCAATGTATACTCCCAGCAGCAGTGGGTGAGAGTACCAGTTTCCCCAAACCCTTGCTAAGAATAGATAAACAGCCTTGTTTCTAATCTTGCCTATATATTTTTTTCACCATTTCAATAGTGTTTCTTTATTTTTCTATTTGTTTATTTTCTACTTGCCTATCTTTTTTTTTTTGAAAATTACATTATTGTTTTCTTTGTATATTTTATTTTACAAAGTTGTTCTTTCAGTTATTTTTTTATAAGACACACTATTTCTAAGTACCTATAGGATGGCTACAACTAGATTTCCCCAGAGAACTTCAAGATCAAAATTTCCAAAACCAAATCGATTCTCTCCCCCATAAAATGCAGTTACCCCTGTATTCCCTCTCTCAGTTAATAGTGACATGGTCTCCCAAGTTAGCCAAGACAGAAACTTCAGAAATGATCCCCTCTCTCTCTTCCTCTTCAAATCCAGTTACAAAATCTTGTCCGTTTATTCTTAAATAGCCCTCGAGTCTATCCCGTCTTATCTGTTCTCCCTGTTTCTGTCTTAGCTTGGCAGTGCTCACAACCTCACGTCTTGATCTCATGGTCTCTTGTTTGAACCATCGCAAAAACATCCTAAAGGCAGCCAGCCGTCTCTTCTACTTCATCCCTCATACGGATACAAGAATAATTTCTGATTCTGGTGCAGAACACAGGAGAACAGTCCCCTCCTTACAACTCTGCAGCAGGCCCACACTGCTTTCAGAGTAACGTGATCATTCCTTAGCATTGCATGTGAGACCCGGCACGCACTGTCATTCCGAGTTACTGCCCTACTCATCTACATTGTTCCAGCCTTTGCACCTGTAACCCCTCCCACAGAGCCCTGTTGCCCCCAAATGCCACGCTTTTATACAATTTTGTGTCTAAGCTTTTTTGCCTAAAGCCACCCGATCACCACTCAAGATTTAAAACACATCTTCCCCTGGAAACCCCAAAGAAATAAGTCAAACATTTAAGCTTTGGACCTTCCGCTAGCTGGGTACGGGAATGCAAAGCCAACCCCTTAGAGCTGGAAACCTGACTCAAAAAATTGCCAAAGGAGTCCTCCTTAGTACGGCATAACGCCTAAGAGACAAACAGCCTGCGTTCAAGTCCCAGCTCTGCATTTACTGGTTCTGTGATTCGGGGCGAGTTACTTACCCTTCTGCAGCTGGTGTCCTCATCTTTGAATTGGTCATCACGGTTATGACTCCTTATACGTTCTCGTAAATTAATATATGTAAGCACTCAGGAAAGTGGCTGTCATGAATTAGAGTTAACCATTATTCAATGTTACTTGAAGAGATGCTATATTTGGGGGTAATTAATGTTGGTGCCATCCCACTGTATATGTAAGTGGTTATTTGGAAGAAATGATATAATGTAGATGCGAGCTCCTTTGGAAAATTTAAAGCACTATGGAATTGTCTGGTGTTGCTATCTTAATTTTAAACGAGGTTAAGTGTGTCTACTTCCAAAAAAAGTGAATATTGTGATCTAACTCATAAGATCACTAAAAGAATTATGGAAGATTTTTTTTTAATTATTTATATCCATCTCATTCCAAAATGGTTTTGTGTAGTTAACTTCAAGCTAAAACGGATACAAAAGCAAGGCGATGTAGTTCTTAGTAGGAGCACTTAAAAATGTAGACATTCTGGGGTGTAAATCCGGGTTTTCCCACTTAGTACAATGACTCTTCCAAGACATAAATATACTTGTCAAACACTGGGCATTCAGAAATGATCATTACTGTCATTTTGTTGAAAGAAGACCACATCAAGGTATTCTTGGCAGGAGGAATAAGGCAGACATTCGGAGGAAGCAATTAAATGTTAAGCGATACTGAGTTCGTTTAGAAGAAGCGGAGGACAAGGGCCACTCCTCCCAGGGAGCCAGAAGCTCAGCTGAGACTCAGACAGCCACGGACCGAATCTCCAGGCACACATCATTTCAAATGTTGCTGTTCAACCCTTAATTTCATCCAGCCTTCAATCATAGTTGATTATTTTTATGTCTGTTTCCTACATTAAATTGTATTTTCCTTGAAGTCAGGGACCCCACCTTTGGAAACAAGATACCTGCACAGCAGTCAACATTCAGAACCACACAGACATGCTTGCTGAATGAATGCAAGAAAAAATAGCATCTGCCCGGTGAACTCTTAGACACACGCTAAGGCCCAGGTCTCACTAAATAAACTGAATTGAGAAAAGAACACAGTCTTCTTTCAGAGAGAAGTAATGAGGGACCTGGATAGAAAATCCTAATCGCAGAGAAATGTTTTCCAGAATCATAGATTCAGAAAAGCTGCCAAACCAGATTCCACATTTCTTTTTTTTTTTTTTTTTAAGATTTATTTATTTATTTGACAGAGAGAGACGGAGAGAGAGGGAACAGAAGCAGGGGGAGTGGGAGAAGGAGAAGCAGGCTTCCCGCTGGGCAGGGAGCCCAACTCGGAGCTCAATCCCAGCACCCCAGGACCATGACCTGAGCTGAAGGCAGACGCCTAATGACTGAGCCACCCAGGTGCCCCTAGATTCCACATTTCTACCCAGAGCAGGATGGTAACTGCCGCTGGGGTGCCGAGACCTCAGGCAACAGCAGAGACCCGAAAAGCTGAAGTTACACATGGGGCTGACCCCGTGGCCTGCGGGAGCTTGGCAGTGCTGACCCATGACCCCCAGCCTGGGCCCAGCCTCCCACATTAGTTCTGCAATGCACTCCTCGTGATAAGAGTCACAATCCCAAACCCGCTGGATGACTCTCAGGTCCCTAGAGTTTCCAAGAGATGTTGGGTTTCCACTGCTGTGTCTCCCCTTCCTCTGTTTTACACCAAACCTGTGCCGCCTAAAAGTAGAACCTACAAGAACTGGTCAATGCTCAGAGGCACAGTGGCCCAAGAAAAATAACAACACATAGTTTCTGAAGATTCCAAAAGGCTTGGCCCTCCAGGAAGGACAAGGGCCTCTGCTCATTCCACAGCGGCGGGAGCATTCCTCACTGCGCGTGGGCCTCTTGACCCACCGTCGAGCTGGACTTTGGAGAGCGGAACCCTAATCTCCCCCGAGGATCTAGATAGAGATGTAAGGATCTTCTCGGGGGTTGCCGGCGGTTTCTACAGTTGCTGCTGACCAGGAGGCTGGGTGCGGGGGAGAGCAGGTACCGAAAACAGGGAGGCATGGCGGCTGGCCTGGGCTGGGCCGAATGGCCTCCAAACCCATGCATCCGGGCACGTCTTCCTTCCCCTTCTCTTCTTTGTTCCTCTTCTCCCCCTGAATGTTTTCTTCCCCGGACCTGGGGAGTCAGAGAAACCCAACAAATTGTTATTTCCTTCAATACTGTAGCAACCTGTGCTCCGATTAGCCCCGCTGGTTCTCATCGGAGGCATCTGCAGTTCCCGCCACCTGCCGGGGCCTTGCCAGGCCAAGCCCAGGTCCCGTCTCTGTGGGCTGCTGGTCTTGGCCCTCAGGAGTGTGTCAGGGGCGTGGTGGGGGGCAGGGGACGGCTATGGAGGGCGGCGGGAGGAGGCGGCACACACAGGGGGCCTTGTCCCCGGGGCTGGGCCGTGGAGCCAGCACCACGTGAAATCAAAGAAGAGATAGAAGGGGGAGGCGGTGCTGGGTCCCGGTGTGAAGAAAACAGCCTGCTCTGAACTTATCGAGTCTCGGGAAACAGTGTAATTTCTTCTCAGGGAGTGCTCTGATAGCCTGACCAGCAGGAAGTACTGGAAGCCTAGCAAACCCCACAGAGAGAGAAGGCACAATGAGCCTGAGAGCACGGGTCGGGGCCTGAGGCTCGGGTTCCTTCCGGCTCCCATTTGGGGCACAGACGGCACCTTCGTGCCGGGCTTGGACCCAGCCTCCAGCCAGCCCCCTTCCCAGCGCCCGTCCCACCTTCCTTCCCTTCCCTGCCCCTCCCAGGGACTCTGTGCCTCTTTCTTTTGTCAGGACCCTAGAGAGGCCACGAGGCCTGGAGGTGACTCAGGCACCCAAAGTTAAATGAGAATTTCTGCCAAGAATTCCAAAGTACCCAGAGGCCAGACAGCACAGCAAACATCCAGGCCATTTGCTGGTCCTGGGTAAGCCTCCACTCAGAACTTCCAGGACGAGGGACACCCCCTTAGGGGAAGTTCAGTCCCCATCCCCTGCCCTCTGCACCCCGTTCTAATATCCACCAGCCCCCACATGTCCTCCCACTTCCATTTGGGCCCCCTTCTCACCTTTCTGGCCCCAGAGGGCAAGGAGCTGCCTCTCTTAAGTCAGATCTTTTCCACCCACAGACGAAAATTTTCTGCTTCTTTCAACAGAGCCCAGAAATCTGGAGAATTCCGAAGAAACTAGCCTCTCATGGGTGGGGCCAGCAGGGTCTGCTGTTCTGAGGGACAGACCAGACTGACTCACGTAGTCCAGGCACACGCTAGGTGTTATTTCAGTTATCTGGGTCATCGTGTCCAGGAGGCCCTGGCCACAGAAATGGCCTTTCCTTCCCTGCCAAGTCATGAGGGAGAAAACGCTGCTGGCTGAGTCTCCGGGTTTCTCAAGGTGGACAGAAGGGAAGGACCTGACCGACCCCCTTGCCCTGGAGGCCAGAGGCTTTGCTGAAGTGGCAGCGTAGGCCCGTGAGTCCCTCTGTACTTCCGCAGGAAGGCAGGTACGGAACTCTTTCTAGGGGTAGTGGGAGGGAGTGATGTCATCATTCCTTATCTCCTGCCCCCGCGAGCTCTTGGTGGGGGAATCGCCCCAATGTGGGGTGAAGGACTGTGGGGCCGAGCTGACAAGGAACTACGGGTTGGCTGTGGGCAGCCCACAATTTTTCTTAATTAGCTATGGCATCTTGCCCATCATCGAAATAAATAACAGGTGTCCCCTAAGGACACCACATGAGAGTCGCCATTTATCGCCATTCTGAAAGGGAACTGACAACATGACGGGTGACATAGCAGAAATAATGAAGAAAAATGGCAGCGGGCAAGGAGAGGCCCCGACGGAGGAGCCTCGCCGTCCGTCCCCCAAGGGAAGCCCCTGCCCAGCCCGCCCCCCTGGGAGAGCAACACCTCCCAGGGTAGGCCTCTCCTCCTGGAAAGATTTACATCTTCCATTAGCACGAGGCAGGTGCCATGCGGTAGCATTTCAGGGTCACCTGCACTCCCTGCTGCCCCATCATGGGTCACTGAGAATATGGGTCAGAGCCCCTGAAATGCCACTTGGAGAGTTTCATTATTTTAGGTATTTCAAGTTCAGGCAACTCTAATTTGTCTGTGTGGTTTATCTCTGCCAAATGTTTGATTGTAGGCCACCAATCCACCACCTGACATCCTCCTGGCCATGCTCCTTGTCTAATGGTTGGTTGCTGTTAGTCCAAAGGCACAGAGGGTCCCTCTCCTGCCGAAGGATTACCTGGCCACCTGTGCTCCACATCCCATGCCCTGCTGCCTGACCAGGAATTTCTCTCCATCGGTCCCCCCATCTCTAACCATTACCTTTAACTCATTATAGTCAATTCCCTCTGTCCATTCCCCTCAAGACTCAAAAATACTCGTCTCTTCCATTCAAAAGAAAAGTCAAGCCAGCCAGTCCTGCAGCCTACATTCCTCATTAGCTACCACGGTCCCACCTCCTGACTTTTTGGTCAGCTTTTCCAAAGCACCCTCACTTCTAACCCCTCACGGACCCCACAGCCTACTTCAGTTGACTATGGCCCCAAGATCATGGAGACGGCTCTTTTCAGAGTCACCAGGGCTGTTCCGTGACTAAACCCCATAGTCACTTTTTGGCCACGCCTTACTGACCATTCCTCTTTCTTGGAATTCTTTTCCCTCATGGCTTCCCTCTTCTCAAATTCTATTTCTATTTCTCCAGCTACTTCCTCTGACTCCACGGCAGCTCCTTTCCCACTGTCTCGCCCACGAATGCTGGGCATCTTCAGGGCCCGGGCCTCAGCCCCCACCCAGTCTCATTCTTCATGATCTTCCTGGGCAGACTCATGGATCAGTGATCTCACATGTCTTAATGACTCCCAAGTCTGAGTCTGCAGTCCACACTTCTCCCTGGAATTCTACCTTCGTAATCCAGTTGTCTGCTAGAAACCTCTCTGTGAATACCCTCTAAGCACCTCACTTTGAACATATCAGAAACTGAATTCCCCTCTTTCTCTTTCACACTCACGTGTGTGCCCACACACACATACTCAGCCAAACTTCTGGCTCAGGAATGGCCCCTTAACCTACCCTAGAAGGGAACATGGGAGCTCGTAGCCACTGAGATTTTACATCCCTTCGTGTCGTCCCAGGGGCTCTGAGAGTCACTGGCCGAACCTGGCTGGCGGGAACCTTGGGGTGGATCCAAACAGTCTAGTATGTATAGGTCCATTCAGACAAAACTGGGCAAGGGCAAAGGAAGTCTGAGGGATTCTAGAGATCAGAGATCAAGTGAGGTTGGCTCCCAAGGGAAGGGGTACAGCACTGACATCTCTATGTAGCAAGACTCTTGCGATGAGCAGAGGAATGTGGAGAGTTGGAACCAGTCCTGGGAAGGAAGGCAAATAAGATTCCATCTTAGAGATTCCATCATTGATGAGTTTCAGGGCAGTAGTCCCAACTGCAAGGGTTTTAAAGGTCATCCAAGACAGGCAGCCCAGAAAATAATAGAGTGAGAGAAAATTCCAGAGCAGGGCATTGAAATAGAAGTCTTGGCCTATGCACTGAATAACAGTAGAAGCACAGGAAATGCTCTGACTAGCCAGCTTCTAGGTTCCCCGAGGTCCTGCAAGCGCCATCTTGGGTCTAAGAGAGCATGATTTAGTTCTAATCTCTTGGATGGAAGGCACTGCCTCCGCGTAGACTGCCTTAGAAACTAGGAAGGCTCAGGTTCCCCTTTGAAAAATGGAGGGATGGGAGAAAATGAAGTTGGGATAACAAGTTAGGGAGACCGACAGCCTGTATTCTATACAAGGGTTCATTTGTATGCATTCTGCACTGCGGCGTCCGGGGTGATGAACTGGGTGCACTTTGGTTTGGTGTTGCATGTTTGAGCAATGGGTGACTGGGGTGGCTGAGGGTGCTTTCTATGGAGCAGCAACAGTAGGGTGTTGTCCTTCCCGGGTTTTGGCCTCGTGCTCATTGACTCATTGACGGACCAGAAGGGGCTTTCTAGGGTTTCAATGGAGTCCATTGAAGACAACTGCAGGAAAAAAATAGCCTTGGGGATGTAAAAAATGTGCCAGAAGAATGCCTGCTAAGTATAGATACAGCATGGATCTTTGTGTGTTGATTGAGAATGTCTTTTGTATGGGGATGAGGCTGCACTCTAGCCCCCAAGCATGCCTTCTGATGGTACCGGGACGGGAGACTGGAGGGGCCTTGGAGGGGCCAAATGAGAAGTAGGGAGGAGGGGATAAGTAACACTTGCCTTTCCTTTACATTTACTGGCTGTTATTGGGTGTCAGACTACTGGTAGGTGCTAGAGAAAAAGTCCCTGCTTTCCAGGAATTTACAGATTTCAGGAAATGAATATAGACAAGAAACAGTCTAATATTATAATACTACATGGCAAATACAATAGTATGAGTAGTGAGGATACCTGATGTGGACTGAGCACTTACTATGCACCATTTTATTTGTGCGAAATGCTCTCAATGCATATTGTTTAATCCTCGTATCAAGCCTGTGAGGAAGACACTGTTATTACTTATTTCTGTGTTACAGATCAGCAAGTTGAGGCTTCCAAAGGTCAAGGTCAGGTAAGCCAACTGAGATCCCTTAGTTACAAGCTGAAGAGTTGAAATTCAAATGATATGTGAGCCTAAAGCGCCTTCCATCACCCCTCTACCTGCTGCTGCTTCCCTCGTTAAGGGTAGAAGAAAACAGGGAGAGAGTGACTGAGTCTTCCCAAGCAGTTCAGGGAGCTACACAGAGGTGATGACCTGCATTGAATCTAGATAAACAAGTAGGTGTCCAGGGGCTGCAGGAGGAGACAAGGACATTCCAGGCAGAGAGAAAAGCAAGGACGAAGGCAAAGTCCATTTGGAGAACTATGAAGTGTGTAACTCCCATCACACCCACAGCCATTCACATGCTCACACACAGCCACAAAGGTATACACACTCACATGCACATGCACACACACGGGCACATATTCTCCCACATTCTTACACACAGGTATACACGTGCTCTCACACACACGTGTGCACACAGCCGGACCCATGCCCACACACACTTCACCAGGTCTGTGAGACATCTGCCTGAGGGATATATTCATTCCCAGTATTCTTTTCTGCTTTGCAGACTTCCACGTTGATGATCCGGTAATAGTAGTAACACAACTCACTGAGTGCCTCTATGCTCCAGAAACTCCACTGGGGGCTCTCTCTGTGCCACGTTAAGGCTCACAAAAAACCAACAAGGTGGGTATTATGATCCCATTTGACAGATGTGGTTACAGGGCCTCAGACAGGGCAAAGATCTCTCCAGGAGCCCCCTAATTCATGGGTGGCCTTTAAAAGCAAGTCTCTCTGTTTCCAGAGCCTGAGTTCTTTGAGCTACCCAACTACCTCTCCCAATATCAAAGCCCCTAGAACAGACTTTGCCCCCTAGAGGGAATGCATGGTCAAGTGCGTGCCTGGAGAGCAATGGGCTAGAGCTGGGACCCACAGGGATGGACCCCTGCTGAGGCAACCTCTTCTCCCTTCAAGCCGTGGTGCCCATCAACGATTACCAAGATGTGGAAGAGTCATGAGAAGAATGTGGGTGCTTTTTATCACGTGGTGACAACAACCACCATCGTCATGGAAGTCTGGAGTTCCAACTGATCTTGAAGAGAGAACAGAGTTGTTGGCCAAGGGTTAGTGGATTGCAATCCAGTGACTCAGACAATCAGTAACAAGCTGGCTTCCTGGCCAATGCCCTTCCCACTGGCCATACTACCTACACTTCGAGCGTCATTTAGAAATCCCCACCATGGGTTCTTTTTATTAATTAACTGGCATGAGCAAATATGGAGGGTCTGAACAATTTGCATGTACGAATTTGTTTTGTTTCTCTGCACATGCTTTAGTTCCCAGGAACGCACAATGCTGAGTGAGGGCACGGTGAGATCCCACCTTAACAGATGGCCTAGTTGTAGCCCAGAGAGATTAGCTGAAGCAAGAAGCTTAGAATAACATCTTGAAGACCAGATTCTAGATCTCCTTTGTCCCAGATCTGGCCCTGCCAGGTTGGTGCACTTTTTTTCTCTTCCTGTTGTTTCTTCAAAAGATCAGTCCCCCTTGCTGCCCCAACTTTGTAGGTCTCACACCAGGTCGATCTCCTTTCTGAGTAACTATTTTCCTCCTCATTGTATCCCTTCCTGGATTTTCCCACTCTGTACTGAGCTGATTTATAGGCCAGAGTCGTCCCCTGGGCTGGGCAGAAAAATAGCAAGAAGACAGATTAATGATCCCTTCAGCATTGCCCAGGAAAATGCCAGCATGGGAGTGAGACTCTGGCTCAGCAGAAGCTGGAAAAACCTATGTGTGACTGCTCGGAGCAGGAACATACTCAGCTCATGCCAACAGCTGGTGTTCAGGACAGGGAGAAAAGCTTGGGAATGGTTCTGCCCACCTCCTCCCAGTGCCACTTTCCTTTCATTATGAAGGTAGACCAGAGGCCCCGGGGAAGGCAATGTGAGGATGGGAATGGGGTGGTACAAAGGGAGTCCCTAGAGAAGTTGTTCTCCCAAAGTTGACATGGACTATAGTTCCCAATAAAAAAATTTTTCTGCATGGCTCCCCCATCAGAGTGGGGGGCACAACACACCATAAATCCACACCATGGTCGTACACATTGTTACACACACACTCACACGCTCGCATTTTTCTACTCGCGTCCCTTTGCTCAAAGCCATGTGTTTCTGGCACCGCCCCCTCCTTGACTTTGCGCAGGGCCTGCCTGTGTTGGCAGGTACCGTGGTTGGAAAAGAAGAAAGACAACAAAACCTTTGCAGCCCCAGGTCCCCAGCATGCAGTCCCAGCTCCCTCAAAAGCCCCGGTGGGCTCAGATGGCTCCCCTCCTTCCTCCTTTTCTAATTATGACAGGCCCCAGGGGGCTAGAGCAAAGAGAGGGAAGGCTGAGCAGGACTACAAGTGGGAAAGGAGGTCACAGGAGGGAGGGAGGGAGAGAGGGAAGCAGCAGAAACAGACATTTTGTTCTGGGGAGAAACAAGTATGTGGCCAGGCACAAAGAGTGGTCACACCTCGCCTTTCGTGCATCCTCCTCCCCCATCCCCGGGGAGATGAGCCCACAGCCATCGCACAGCCATGTTCACTGCAGGACATGTAACGGGAAAGGGGAAACCCCTTCAAGTCTGAGTTTCAACCGTAGGCTGACCTGTCTTGGAAACGCGAGGAGGTATAATGTCATTTATTCTGCTGGCCCCTCTGCGAAGCTAGGAGATCTGAAGGGTCTTCGTCATTATTTCCATGAAGGGAGGCCTGGGGTTCTCCTAGCCCAAAGCATACTTCACAGCTATGCCTTCTTCGAGAAGGGCTGGCCTTCTCTTCTCTTCTCCGGGTTGGAGTATATGAACGACAACCTCTTACAAGTGACCAAACAGTGATATGTACAATAATCCCCCACTCTTTATAAAATGAACTAGCCGTCCCTTGATCTGATTGAACAAATTTCTACTAAGGGTTTTACTACCTGCCAGGCACTTTACTGAGCACTGGGGATGAAGCCCGGGCCAGGATCTGGATGGGCCCGATCCTGGCCTCACAGAGTTCATGGTCCAGCAGAGGAGGCCACACGGAGGGAGGGTGCTGTCTCAGGCACAGTGCAGTGAGGCCAAGGACCAGGGGAAGGAGGAAACCTTCTGCTCCCTCATCAGCTGAGAACAGAAGGCCAGTCCTGGTGGGGAGGAATTCTCCATAACATCTACTTCTGTTTTTCCTCCACAGCTTCTGGTCAGTCCGGTTCCCCAGGCCCCTTCTCCTCCCCAAGACTTAGAAGTAAGTGAAAATGTCAGGCCCTCTCCAGACCATAGAATTTCTTCTCCTCCCAGATCTGTTTGGTTGTGGTCATGAAGACTGCCCAGCCAAAGATTCAGAAATAGCAACTCTTCCAATTATGGAAAATGTGATTAAAGGAAGTGTCAAGGCCCTTCACATGTGCCTTTCACTTGCTTCTTGCCTTGCAACCCTTGCTTGGGCTGACAAGCATAATAGATCTACTTGATACATCTTGTGCTAAAATAAAATGTCTAGTCAAAAGTGCTTAGAATCCCTCAAGGCTGGAGTTGGCTAATGATGTCATTACTCCACAGGGCCTGGCGTTATTTTTAGGATGGCCATTTCCTCCCACATTAAGGCTCATTAGGATTTTTTTTTTCCTCTGTAGTACTCTACCCACACAATAGAGGTCACACACAGAGATGAGGCCTGGTCTGGGCCTGAGGCAGGTCACTTACCCTTTTGGGACAGCTGAGTTCAGAGGAAGGCCACTCGAAGCTGAAGGAAGCTTTTTTTTAAGAGTAGGAGACCAGACCAAGGTCAAAGGCTGTCTGGGCCGGGTGGCCATCAATATGGCCTGCTTACCAACACTGAAATGGCCAGGTCTATGCCATCCACACCCCCTTTACCTCTCATGCCTTCGTACCTCTCGGCTACTAGCCAATGTAAGACAGGTCCAGCCTGGTTAAAACAGCCTCACCAATATTCCATCATCCGCGAGACAAATTCTCTGAACTCCAGGGGAAGGCAACCTCTACTGCACAGGGAAAACATTCAGCTATCTTCATCAGCATAGACTCTGCAATCCGCTGGTTCGAGGTTCAGAATCTAGAGTTGCCATTCACCGGCTGTGTAACCTGGGGCAAGTTGCTTAATATCTCTGAGCCTTACTCTCTCCCCATCGCTACAAGGAAGATAATGCCAACCACACAGGACAGTCATTAGAGAACAAATAAGAAAATGTACATGAGGCACTTAGAGTCCCTGGCACCAGGAAAACACTTATTAAATGCAACTGTTGTTATTACTTATCATCTCCTCTAGTATTATTATAAATCAACAGTCTGCAATTTTGAAATCCAAAAAGCCCTGAATACTGAAAGATTTTTCGTAACTCATTTGGCAGTAAAACCTGACCTGAACTGACCTGAGTTTCTTTGTAGCTCTCATTTATCCCACTTAGGATGAATATTTGCTGCACAAATCTGAATGGTTTTCCCTTACAAGTTGCTGCTCTTGACTCCGCGGGGTTATTATATAATATATAGTAACTGTACCATATTCCTTTTCTAAAATCTAAAAAATTCTGAATTCAGAAATGTATCTGGCCCCAAGGGGTTTTGATAAGGGATTGTGGCCAGTATTCTTTTTCAAGCCAGGTAAATCTCACCCTGCAGGACCCAAGCCATGACTATTCTCCCTACCTAGAAAAATACAAAAAGTGTTCATTCCCTCACTGGCAGCCAGGCGGTCACCCATCTCCCTGACAAACCGCTGGGAGCCCCCAGGCAGGCAAATCTGCCCTCCCTGCCACTCACAGATCAAATCCGTTACTAACCTAGATTGCTGGTCCTTTGCACATCTGGACAGGAAGGGTGACGAAAGCAGCCTCGTCACATTTCTCTGAAGGTATTATGCTCCCATAGAAGTAGCCCTTATGTATAGAAGTGCCATGCTCTTTACAGACACCTTAAACCTCACAACAAGAACAAAGAAGGTATTATTATCCCTACTTTACAGACTTGTAAATGGGGACATAGAGATGGTGGGAACACAGACAAATTCCAATCTGATTTCAAAACCACTGCTCTTTTTCTCCATGGCATTGCTCACTGACTCCCATAGAACCATAGGGAAAGAGAGAAATCATACTTTAAATTTATTTTAGTCCCATTGTGTATATATATATATATATAAAATGTATATTATATTAATAGTTATTATATAATTAATAGAATTAATAATTAAATAAATTAACATAAATATATAATACTGTATATAAATATAATATATTATTTTTAATGTATTATATAATAGAATATATTATATTGCATAATAATATAATATAGATTGTATTATATAACATATTTATATTAATTTATTTTAGTCCCATTATATATAATATATTAATAGTATTGTATATATTATATTTCATATTTTATATATTATAATATTATATTTTTAAGTGTGTAGCATTATTTAAGATCCAGGCCCTAAACAGGGGGTTAATTTGCAAGTTTGAGAAATAGTGAGTTTTTTTAGTGCCAAGTGATCTGTAAGGACCAGTGTTCTCAGAAAATAACATTGACCCGTATCACTCAGCCTCTTCCTTTAATCCTTCCCCAATCTCCTGTCCTCCACTTGGGGAAGGCGAAGTTAGGACGCCTTCCTAGGTGCGGGAGGAAGAGGTTATGTTTTTTGGGGGGGGCGGAGTGTTTTGCAGTGCCGTTCCTCATTTGATCTGATGAGATCATTTGAACATGAAGGCCAAGAAGGGAGATCTGGTAACCTTGGCCCTGAACCCATTGATGAGTGTGCAGAATTATACTCCTCCAGGACACAGCATGCTAAACGAGGCACAAGGCTCTATCCACGACAACTCGCCTTCCCTGGAGCCAAAAGTAAAAATCAAAGGCAGCAAAAAGATAAAAAAGCAAGTGTCCAAAACCAGAGAGAATAACTCATACTCCCTCATGACACCCAAGGAGACAAGGACCACAAAGTAAAGGTGTCATGCAGCCCACAGATTAATCTACACTATGCAGAAGTGGTCAGAGTCCTCCTTTCCCCCATAATAGGATGCCCGGGAAGCCTTGCAATGAATGCTTCCGTCAACAAGATAGCAAGGACTACGGCTGGCCGGCAGTGCATTGTTTATCGGCTACCTAGGGCTTTGCATTATGAAAAGATGTCTGAAAGAGACTTTGTTATCTCCTTGTGCTTCTGCAAGTCACCACTCCGCTCTGTGAGCAGCACTGATCCTCCTAGAATTCCTGACTTTTGATTTGAGGATGCGATTGTTCCTTAACTGACAATAGTAGGCTGGAAACCCAAGGGTAGCTGCCGGGCCCGGTGGTCACCTGCAAAATGAAGGTGCAGCTGGGGCTCCCAACAGGCCCCGGTGACTTCCAGGCCGCCTGCCAGGTGGCATGGCTGTCAGTGATCCATGAGGTCACCAAGGTATGAATCAAGGTTGGCAGCATCCGTGGGTGCCTCCGTAATATAGACAGTTCATGTAGCATGTCACAGGCCAGTGAGAAAGTGACTTGTCTTGAAGGGTTTTTTTCTTTTTTTTTAATCCCAGTAGCAGAGAAAGCAATGATCCAAGAAATGGAGAGTGTGAAACAGAGAGCCCTATCCAGGTGGGATACTCCGGTGGCTCTGACATATGGTCATACAAGTGGCATAAATTCTGGCCACTGTACGCCAAATTATAAAAAAAAAAAAAAAAAAGTCTGATCCCCTTTCTTCCGCCCCACAGATAGCTAAGGCCATTCCCTTGCTCGACGTTCTCAGAAGCTACTCGAAGACTCACGAAAGATCTAAGAACCACATTTTACAGATCGAGAGGGATCGAGAGGGAAGTGACTTTTCCAAGGGCACAGAGTACATATACTGTGAAGAAGCAAGTTGGAGGGCATCTCTTCTGATTCCCAGGCTAGTGCTCAGAAACACTCAGGTTTTCGAATTATGAAAAAGACGTGTCTATGCGAGAGAATGTTGTTACTTAAAATGAAACTCTGTGGAAGAATACGGATGACAGGTGATATCTACTGACGAGTGCACAGATAGCTTGACATGAACAAAATCAAGCACAGCCCTGTGAGTAAGTGTGATGTTAACAGACAATTCTCCGTAATATATTTTCCATGAGCCAATGAGAGGATATGAAATATATATTATGGAGGTCTGTATTAACGTCATGTTTATTTACTCTGCGGCAACCTGATAGTCCTTGATTTTAATACGTTTCCTAGGCCTGAAGATGGTAGAGTTCGATGTCAGCTCCAAACTTTTCACAAATGCAGCCAAGGGTCCGTCCCCATCCTCCTGCTCCCCGCCTCACCCCCACCACACACGCCCCCATGGAAGGATGTTGAAGATATATATACACATCTGGGTTTTTAACAAACTGGGGACGGTAGAGAACTCCGCTCATCATTTGCCAACATCTGAGTTGCCATTTTGTTCTGGCATCTTTCCCAGAGGACCGCCTCTCCCTGCCCACCATGGCATCTTTCATACCTGCTAGTGCCTCCGTGTTTCTGAAAGCCTGCACGGAGTACTGCTCGGCGCTGAGCACCGGAGCAGACCTCCTTGGGGTCCTACGTACCTCTCCACTGGGGAGGAAGGAGAGGCCAGCCTCCACTCCCTGCAGGCCCCTACCGCGGCCGTGGCGGGCAGCGTCCTCCTAGGGCGCCCCCCTCACGTCTGGCACCGAGGAAGGCAAAGTTAGACTGACAACAACACTAACAAAGATTAATTCCTGTGTCTGATGAGAGTTAATTTCTCTGATTAGAGGACTCTCAAAGATGTGCAGTGACTAAATCCTGACTGGAAATACTCAAACGGCAGAACGACGGGGCAAAGAGCCCGTCACACACCAGTGGCTTGCAGAAGACCTTCGCGAGACCAGGCACGTGAAGAGTCAAACAAACAGCCGGGATAAACATACAAGGGCAGGCGGCTCTGGCCAACGGCATAGTTATCTATTTATCTGTTTCGTCCCATTGATTTATTTATTCTTTATTTCCCTTTCCAGAGCTTCTTGGAAGGTCTCATCTGAAACTGCACACACTCAGAAGGAGATGAGGGGTGTGGTGGGCATAACCCACCTGGAGAAACGCCATCTGGTCCGAGGGAGGCTGGTGGCTAACAGGGCAGGTGCACCGGGCCACCCACAAATCCCCCCCCTCTCCAAGAATCGGCTTTGGATCGCAGAGGAGGAAGACGTTGATGGACAGTTCGAAACATCCACGTCCAGACTGCTGCCTGCAAGGGTGTGTGCACAGGGGTAAGGCAGGTGGAGGGGCTGGTCTAGCAACAGTTGACATCAGGATGGTCTCACCGGGCTCTGAGGTCCGAGGGAAAGCGGGAGGTGGCTGGAGAGGTGTGAGCTTAGCAGGCAGCCTGATTTGGATGTGAATTCTGGCTCCGTCATTTACATCTGTGTGAATCTGGACAAGGCACAGAACTTCTGGAAGGTTCAGCCACCTCACCCAGAAGCAAGAGCAACCTGCCTAGGTTAGTTCCTTGGCATACACAACCCGTAAAAGAGCCTGGCGACAAGAGCTCCTCTGTCCCCGGGCCACGTCCCACCTTTGAGACCAAACAGGAGAAAGGTCCTCTGGTTTCATTCCAGGGAAACATGGAGGCTGTGGGGTCCGATACTTGTGGAGAAGTTCAGTGACTCCCAGCTGAGAGAGAAATATCATTTTCCTACTGGCACGTGGGGGCAGGGGGAGGGGAAGAGCCACTTCTCCTGATCTTCCACACTGTCCCTTCCCTTCCCTTCCCTCCCCCCGCCCCCCTGTCATTCACCCATCTCATACGCATATGGAGTGCTCCCCAGGGGCCGGTGCCCAGCCTGAAGTTGTCCATAATGTAATGCTCCAACTCCCTGTAGCAGAAGACTCCCCCCGCCGACACACACACACGAAGACAGTTACCAATTCCTAAGGATTTACTGAGAGTCTGTCTACTTTGTGCCAGGCACCATACTATCCCAGGATAGTGAGGGACTTCTCTACTCTCAGGAGCTCACAGCCCATGGATGGAAAAGGTGCTGCCTTTGGTCATCCATTAGGGTTTGGGCTATGAGCGCCCAGCGCTCCCCTCGGAGCGGGGCTAGTACAGATGTAAAGCTGCAGTCAGCACACTGCTAATGGGGCTTTGAAAGTCTCTGCTTTATTAGGGCGTCCAGGAAAGCCGATTTCAGCTGCAAATGCCTTCATTGCCTCCCAAGCAGAAATGGCTAATACCTGCTTTCTGGGACGCGCTCATCAAAAGGAGACTCTCAAAGCCCCATTAGCAGTGTGCTGACGCGGGCTATACATTCTGAAAGGGCAAAGTCCAGCGGAGTTAAAGGAATCCAGCCTATTTGTCAACAGGAGCCTGAGTCAGAGCTCCCCCCCCCCTTACTTCCTCTTACCTGGGGGCCTCGGGGCCTGCAGTTCTCAGCAGGGGACTCCGCAGTCCTGCAACCCACACACGTCCCCCTCCCTCCTGAGGCTCACCAACCCCCTCCCTGCCAGTCTCAATTAATCCCACAACCCTGCTGACGCCTAAACACCCAGCATAGACCCGTCTGCTGCCTGCCAAGGCCTCTCCGCTCTGCCATCATCCGCCTCCACCCAGAGAAGCTCTCGGGCTCTGCTCTCCCGATCACCTTCCGTAGCGGCCCAGGCTCCTAGCATCTTGAAGAGGGGAGGGCCTAGAAAGTCAGCTGACCCAACCTGCCCCCCAGTAGGGGAATGTGTCCCTCGGCAGCATCCACACGTGGTCTCCCAGGAACAGCGATGGTTGCCGACACGGAGCGTGGAGGCAGGCGGACCCCAAGGCAGCGTGCAAGCTGTGGGACCTTGCTAGTGCGAGCTGGGCTAAAAGTCAGAGCTACCGTCACTACCTGGCAAATGCCCAGAAGATGTTCTTGCCTGAGATTTTCACTGGCCAGCTCTCCCAGACCCCAGACCTAATAATGACCTCGTCTCAACTTCTGCAATGACCCAAGCTCATGTGAAAAGGATGCCCAGGACCCAGAAATACTGGCTTTGCCCTCCCTTTGGGGCCTCCAAAGAAGAAAGGACAGGACAGGAGTTGAGAGTCTCTGGCCTTTGTTTATTGTCCCATTATTCACTAGACAAGCAGGGTGATGTGGACCACCAAGGAACAGGAGTCACTGGAGAGCCCAGCAACCAAAGCAAGATTTCAGCGGCACTGAGCCAGCCCTCTGATGCTGCAGGCATGTGCTAGCCCCTGGGTCCACAAGGTTGAATAATAAACTCGGTCCTTTATGTTGAGGTCTCCTGGCTTAGCGGGTAAAGACAGATGTAAATAGGAATTATATGTAGCCTGAAGCATGCCTGATTGGCCATATAAACAAATGGCTTGGTTTGCTCCCTGATCTTATCTGATGCTGCTATGGTAATTATCCTGTTGACCACTATCCCTTTCTCGGGATTCTCCACTTTTGGCTTCTCGTTTCACTTTCTCCTGGGGCATCTTTCCTTCTGAGACCACTCCTTGGTCTCCTTCACTGCCTCCTTTGCCTCTGTTCACCCCCCTAAATATTGGTACTCCCTAAAGAACCCGTTTTTTCTCCTCTTTGCTTCTCACTCTGCAGCTTATCTTCTCCCAGGAAAATACCTTTTGCTCCTAGGCCCTTACAGCACCTATATCCTGACAGCTCCCGAATGTTCATCTCCTACCCAGACTTTTCTTGAGTGACACCTGCAGAATGTGCATTTGGTGACCAACATTTCTTTAAAGTATCATGCATGTACCAATAATATTTTAAGTGCTTTACAAACATTAACTCATTTAATTCTCCTAATGACATAACACCCCTATGAAGTGCTATCATTATTCCCATCTTAAGGGTGAGAGAACTGAGGCACAGAGAGGTTAGGTAACTTGTCCAAGATCACGCAGCTAGTGAACGCTGGGGCTGAGCTCCAAACTCACATGGTCTCGTTCGAGAGGGTGCCATGCAATGCCGCCTCTCAAACTCCATGCACATAGCACGTGTGACAGTCAATATAAACTTGGTTTTCAAGAAAATTTCTGGAACAAAATAAAATGAATTTGTTTGGGGGGTTGGAAAAAGCTTAGTTATCATTTCCCTGAGTTTACCCTTCCATTTGTATAACCAAACCTTCCACTTTTGTTAATAGCCTTTGTATTCAGCCTTAAAAAAAGGAAAATCATGGCTTGACACATCAAAAATGTTCAGTGAAGGCTTCTGAATTATATTGAATCGAAGTGTTCCAAACTGAATTGCACTGAAGCATTGAAGGAGCTCAGTGTGAACTTCCGCTGGAGAACTGAGGAAGATCTGAGAGAAGAGGTGACATGTGAGCCAAACAGGGGAGAGCACGTTACATAGAGCCCTACGTCTTTGCCCCATAAGGGGCTCGCGATCAGGTCTTTTCCCACTCTCATTTTACAAATGGTGACTCTCAGGCAGATCAAAGGAACCAGGGATGGGAACAAGTTGGGAACCCAGGGTGGAGAGGAATCTCAGTCCCTTACTACTCAGAGCGTGGTCCCCAGCCTAGTAGGACCTGTGGCCTAGACATCACATAGAGGCCTGCTCCCACAGACCTGCTCAGTCAGAATCTACATGCTAACAAGATCTCTAGGGGTTTCTGTCTACCTTAAATTTGGGAAGCATTGACCCAGGACTGTTTGACACCGGCCAAGGGAACAGGATTAGCTAGCCAAACCTCAGACTCCTCATGATTTCATTCTCTCAGGAACCCCTCTGAGTTTTGGTAAATACATCTCTCTTTCAGCCTGCACCCTGGTCCTGCCAACCTCATGGAGATTGAGATGAATACGATGGCGTGCACACGTATCTCCACCAAAGCCTTCACCTTCAGCAGCTCAAAGGAGGCCAAGCTGCGAACAACATGGGCAAATGTTGGGCAGTTGGTTTTGCCAAAAGGAGGGACAGAAGGAAAGAGGATGGTTTGGTTCACGGTGTTAACCCAGCCCCAACCACTCGTGGCTCATGGGGATACTGGCCCTGCTATAAGTCATACATAAGTGCTCGCAAGGGAATGACGAGATAAGGTCAGAACCAACGTGCAGGGTTAAGCGGTCCGGGGGTGTTGGTTACAGTCCCGGAAACTGCAAGTATTGGGAGGACCTTGTGATGGTTGGACGCAGGATGTGACCACAGAGGAAAACGCTGCTAATGAAAAGAGCCTTCCAGGCAGCTCTTCACCCAACGCTGACTCTTTTCCTTCCTAAACTCGTGGAAGACGATAAAACCCCTTCTTCAACAGCTGGGAAAGACATTCACAGACATTTCGTAGAGGCATTTTGTTGCAGAAGGCATTCATGGAATAGGCTTCCATTGGAAGAGAATTGCACCTCCCGAAATTCTTGCATTTGCATGAATATGTATGGTAGCAAATAGGAGCGGAAATAGCTAAAGGAGGAGAAATGCAGGGAGACATCTGTATACTCTGGAGCGAACAGTTGGAGGGCAACTACAATTCTGCCGTCGGCCTATCAGCTTTGCTCCAAGGCGGGGATGGGTCCAAATTCCACTGGCAGGAGACACAGAAGGAGGACCCGTGGCCAGTGCTGATCCAGCAGGACCAGAGAAGAGGGCTCCGAGGACCAGGACAAAGTGTCTCAGGGCATCTGGCACAGGACAGAACCACAGTTCCGCTGGTATACTAGGTAGAGCAGATTATAAATAGACCATATTGTTCATTCTACAAAATAAGTCCAGCACTGACTCCTTGTTGCTGTTCTTACAGCGTTTAGAGTAAAGAACCCCTTTACAGCAGGTGGATATGATCTCAGACAGAGCCAGTCAGGGAGGTAGCCCCCCTCAGAGAGAGTGGGTGTTTGGCCTGCCCCTTTTCATTCCCCCTCCCCCGCCATCCTGCTCAAATCTCTGGCTCTCTCCCCTCCTCCCCCACCCCCGTCTTTTCTCCTTCTCTTGGCCTTCTGCTGGCTCTCCGGGCTGTAAAAGGAAACCAAGATTTATATTTTTCTTATTTATTACAGGGAATTTTATGTTTCCTGGTCTTGGTTTAGAAAATGCACAGGTGAAATTGCTTTATTTATTTGTACATTTAAATAGACTAAATCCACTTGATTTTTACGTTCTATGTACAGACCCCTCCCGCCCTAGGCCCCAAAAGATGGCACTTGTTATGCCAAAATGGCATCTCCCCAAGCCTGTAACTAACACAGCATTTGCAAAGGATGTTTACAGAGACTGGGGTTGTAGATGCCTCTGAGTTTGCTCAGTAATCCC